TGTTATATATTTTCTTTAGACACGGTAGAGAGATAAGAGAATAAGTTATACGTAGAAAATAAGTGAACCTTGTCGCATCCTAATCAAAATCCACTTTTTTTTCTCTCTATGTCACGCAAGAAAACTATTACTATATAGTAATGATAAAGGCTAAAGTTTTTAATTTTCCTTTCCTATTACGTAATGATGATTCAGAGCCCGAAATTATGGCCTGTGGTCACCCTGCAAAGGGAAAAGTGGGGATATTTCGAGTAGGACCCAAGAAAGATTACACATTTCTGTCCTAATCAAATAAAAAGCATCAAAAGAAGATGACCCCCCAATAACAGAACAAGCTGTCGCATAATTTTGCTTGTAATAATGTAAAAATAGGAGCAAAAGAAAACTTTAGTGAATTGAAAACGTTGACCAAGTAGACCCCACAAACGCATAATCCTATGCTAAATTCTCTTATCAGCTTTACTCATGGTGGGTGGGACAAGGAGAAAGAAAAAGACACAATTCATCCAAATTCAAACTACTTAATTAGAGTTCTCCAAACCCACATGCAGAAGCAGGCTCCCTAAATGGAAGATTAAACTCCTCAAAAAAAATATAATCTATCCACTTTATTTGTGTTGATATAAACATATATTGAGAAATTTTCTATATGCTGAAGTAAATATGAGGGTGTATGGAATAGGGACAGAGCAAGACAAAAATAAAAGTGGAAATACTAAATATAGGTACTATGAAATAATTCAAGGACATTTTGAAAAATGTTGAAAGGTTTTGAGTACCAGCCGAGGAAGGCGAAGGCGACGGGCAAAAGCAGGGCCTGAAAGCCGATTCCGGCGTTGAGGTTATGAAACGCAGCGTAGTGAGCGTTCCCATTGCGGGATTCGGTGATGGGAAGCCAAGCATCCTGAGGGTTGAGTTTTGTGAGATGCCCCACTTCCTCTAAGTAACCCTTCATATTAATCAGCACCCGTTTCATCGGCGTTCCGATTGGGCTCAGAAACCGCGGCGATATGAACGACGTCGGAGTCCACGCCGTCGACGACTTGGCCTCCTTGGAACCCGGCCTCGGCGAGCGCTGCCCCGTCGGCGTCAGAATCTCCGGCGTCGACACCCGTGGGGTCGCTGGAATCGAAATCAGCTCCGTCTCAGGCCTCTCCTCCATGTCGATTGTTGCCAGTTTGTTTCTTCACAGTCCGGAAGCAATGGCTGTGTCTGTGTGTGGGTGGGTTTTAAAACTTCTCTGTCGCTCTGTTTTTGGGTTCGGGTCAGGTGCGTGAAAGTTTGGGAGGCAATGATTTTGTGGCCGTTGATTGTGAATGGGAATTTTGATTGATGGATTGAGCAGGGGCGTGGCGAAAATGGGTGAAACAGGGGTCAATCAAATCATGGTGTTTGTTTGATTTTGCAGCCAATGCAAGAATCAAAGATTTTCTATTTGCTGCTTTGGCTCCATCTTTCTCGACCCATCAATATATGCTACGCGCCACCGCACTACTCACCATCCCCGACAAAATTATTGCTATTAAATTTACTAATCACTCTTTTTAGTCTTTATTAGCTTTGTTTAAATTTTATTTCCAATTTGATTGTTTCACCTAGTTTTAATTTCGATTTTATGACCCACCTTGTATTTCGACCTGCTTTATAATTTATTCACTTTTTTAAATAAATATTTGCTAAAAACACTTTTTTTTATAGAAGTAGCACAAGTGCTTGATTTTAAAACTTGATTTTAATCATTAATTTAGGATATGTTTGTAAATGAAAGTAGAATAAGTTATTCAAAAGAAAAAATGAATCAGATATAATAATAATTTATTTTTCAAAATTTATACTTAAAAACAAAGATAGAAGTATGCAAAATCATTCTCAAATACACTCTTGTTCGGTTATACGGCGTCTGGAATTGATTTTATATATGCTGAATTTACACGGAGGGGGCAATTAGAAATGAAAAATGGAGGCGCGTGAGAAGAACGCGGTCGGTTAAGTCTGAGAGAAGATGTCAGAAGTGTGTGTCAGGGTCCCCGACATGGGCATGTGGTGTCTGTCTCTGGGCACGCGAGGCGTGCGGACCCAAATTCTGACCCGGATTTGTCCGGTCAAACCCGTACCCGCAAAACAGGACCCGCCATCATTTTTGTGTCACGCACTAGCACATCCATTTTCATTAATTGTGAAGGCGGCGGGAACAGAATTGAGATCGCTGATGGGCCTCCTATGGAAACGCGCTCCTTCGGAAGCCCATCCAGAATTAATGGTCCGTTTCCGTTATCACATTGGACAAAATGCGGCCACAGTCAACATTAAACCTCCCTTACAATAAATAAATAAATATATATTATATTTCTTATGAAACGAAATAAAATAAACCAAACAGAAAAACAACACCTTCTTGGAACTAATTGAGAGGCGATTAGTGTTAGAACTATATAAGAAAATATAACAAGCTATGCAGCATCAACTTCCTACTCATAATATGTTTCTCCGACATTTTTTGCAATATATAAATAAGGAATTATTTCTCTTGAAGGAAGATAGTTAGGCGCCAAAACAAGTATAGTTCAGCGGTAATTGACATATATCTCCAACTAAGAGTTTGTGAGTTCGACCCCTCACTCCCACATGGTATACTAAAAAAAGAAACTCTATTATATCAAATCTCAATAATGTCAACATGTGCATAACTTAGTGGTACTTAACATATACTTGTTCTCTCAAGGTCAGAAGTTCGATTTCCCGTACCCCAAATTATTGTACTAAAAAATCTTAATATTCTCCAATTAAATATGTTATTGTCCTAAAAATCTTATTTATAATACTTAAAAGAATCATTTATAAAATTATTTGAAAAGTAGTAAGCAAAACTTTAGTGGTCTTATTTTTTTCTAAACATACATGAGATTTGACATTTTAACAAGGGATTGGTATTCCAATGAGCTGAATTTAGATTAACAGGTTTGAATGGAAATAGAAACGTGAAAAAAACAACTAAAATAAAAATTTTAATGTAATATGATATGTAGAATTTGTAAAACTTAGCATTTAGGTTGGGTGAAAATAAAGGTTGACCATCACATCAACTTGTTCCACCAACAATCAGATGGCTGACGTAAGCGGTTATGTCACCTTCAGAATCTCCAACCCAACGGCAACAACCAACAACGTTTACCTTATCTATTTCTCCCAAATTAAATATATCTATGCTTTATATATAAATAATTGAGGTAGGCCAAAACTTTTTCCCTTTTCCTTTTCCAAAACTACCCTAAAATTTTCAGTAGATCACCCAACTATATTAATGTTTAATGCACCTATTTCAAAATTATTAATTTTATTGGTACGTTGTGAGTGTCCAATTCAGCTTAAGTAGGTATCAACTTTTTTTTTTCCTTAAAAATTTATTTATCTCTTGATTGCTCTAATTAATGACTACTCGGGTTAATTTATTTTTAAGGAAAAAAGAGACTAAGTCTACTAAATATCAGTATTTTAAAATAAATATGATAATATAAGTATTTAAATAATAAAAATTTAAAATTACTAGCTACAAAGTAAGTTATGGAGTCAAATTTTATGTTGTTAATAAACTATTACGTTATAGTTATACATAGATTGATAGTAGGTAGGTCATTAGTTTGTCTTTCTGACAAATAAATGTCAGTGCAGTTTTTTTTTTTTAATTTTTGTTTGTTGTTGAATTTTGACCAAATTTCATAGTTTTTTTAAGTGAAACAAAATTAAATTATTTGCAAACAAATATAAATTTAAACCCTTTTTTAAATGACAAAATAAATTTTTAAAAAACAAACATCAAGGACAAATATTAATAAATTACTTATTATAGACAATTGCATGAAAAAAAAATGGTTCTATTCCTGGCCTATAGTATATTTAATATGCAGTCATAAACAAGGTTCAAAAGGTCGAGAGACATGTCGATATCGATATTGGGGGAAAAGTCGATTTTCCCCCATGTCGTCGATATGTCGACATGTCTTTTTTTTCCTCTTCTTATTTTAAGGTTATTTTATTTTCATCATCTTTCTAATGTGTCACTACAATCTATAATTTGTTACAACCTCGATTATTGTAATGTTAGTATATTCAATGAAACATTCAAATTTTAATACTGTATAAAGTATAACTAATAAGATTTGGAATTTGCTTTATTGATAATTTATAATCTAATTTAGTAATTACTTACACAATTGAACAATATAGGTAAAATATTGACATATATAAAGATTGAAATAATCTTATAATTTTTTAAAAATAAAATATTATTATATACAAATAGTGGTGAAACATGAAGTAGAATAGGTAACTTAATTAATACCAAAAAATGATCTCGAAGGATCTAGTGCACTATCTTTATAACTTTGATATAAATTGCAATAATTCTCCCTGGTTATCCTAGACTGAAAGTTTTGAAAATAACTGTTCAAATGAGTAGAATATGAAGCACATATGGATCTAGATAATTTGGATGAATGACACGAAATTCAAGTATTTGAAAATTGTGTAAATTTGATTGAAAAATTGGATTGATTTGAAAATGTGTAAATTCAAATTTGAAGAGAGTAGGTAAAAAGTAAGAGTTAATTATAATTTAGAAATTTGTTTGGAAACCAAGTGGGCAATTATCTAATTTCCAAATGAATCATATTATGAAAAGCATTAAAGAAGTAGTCAAAAGTTTACAATTAAAGTTTACTTTACGTATTCAAATAATTTCCATCAATGTTCATTAAAGGGAAAATTTTTTTTCGATATTTCCATCAAAATCGACATTTTCATAAGTAAAATGATCATATTCATACATTTAATGGTTAAAGGTGATCAATTATGGGCTAATTAAGCTACAATTCAAGTTTTATTTGTTTACTCAAAAAATTTCCAACAATTTCCACAATTTCCATTTATTTTTCCGAAATATCCATCGACATGTCCGTAAAATAGGAACCTCGACATTTTGATCGACATTGACATTTTGAAGACTGATCATAAATGATGCCTTAAAACGATTTACCGCGATCCAAATATTTAATTATTGGAATATAATAAACATGATAACGACCATGCAAAATAACATTTTTATTTCACATAATTTATATATCCATTATATAATTGATTAGAGAGTTTGCAATCACTACGAAAACTTACCAATAAACTATTCTCATAGAATTATATAATTCATATGCCTTTTCTATTTTTATCTCTAACGTAATGAGCCTTAATTTATTTCCTAATCCAATCGATAATATTATTCTAATGTTAAAATTCGAGGGACCTTCTCAATCTTAAAATAGACTTCAATTTTAAATAATAAAATTAAAATTTTCTTTTAGAGTAAGTTGTGTTCGCTCTTTTTCGAAAGAAAATATTTTTAGAATCTGGTTTGATGTATGTGTTATATGTTTTTATTTAGGTCTGATTTTCACCATTATATTTGCATAGTCGAGTTTAGTTTTTTGTTGCGAAATTTCATATAGTTTACTGGTAAAAAAATATTGATTATACCATTTATTCAAAATCATAATTTAATTTAATGTGCCACGTCTACTTCAGCCGGTAAAAACATGTATCACTATATAAGTTTTTGTGACAAATCTCAATCCTACCATAAAAAGTTTAATTTAAATATTTCTAAATTGTATAACTTCTGCGTAGGTGTAAACAAGGGATGTATTGTCATTTCGTTTGGTGATTTGTTCAAATAATTTGTATGTCCGGGAAGTTCGCACGAAGCTCCGGAGCAAACTTAAAAGTCAAAGTCAAAAAAGTCGTCGATGTGTCGTCATCCATGTGAAGTATTATAATTTCAAACAGTTAAAATTGCCCTCTCTTACACCAATATTTACTACCATGCCATCGTCATAAATATTCAAATTTCATAATATATTAGGAAATTTAGAAATATTTTTGAAAAAGAAAAAGCAATTTGAGAAATCCCATGAAAACTTATAAGTTATGATAAGCCTTTTTAGTAAAAAACTTATAATTAGTTGACTTGCTAATCTACCCATAAAATGAGATAAATATAGAAACTAAAATGAATATTTAAAGTATAGGAATAAAAATGAACGAAAACTAAACAAATATTTTTAGAGTGTAAAGATTAAAATCGAAAACTAGATAGCTAGTAATATACCAACATGAGGTTCGAGCTCAGTTTAGCAGTAATTGAAACTTATCTTTAACCAAAAGGTCATGAGTTGAAATCCTCTCCCGGATAAAGAAAGTAAAAAGTGAATAGTATTTTAAAACCAAATATATATTAACATAACTTTTAAGTTTTAATTTTTAATTAATGCGGGCTCGGTTTGAATGCTGATATTAATTTAATGTATATATTTTTTGAGACTAATATTGATTTAATATTAGTAAGGAAAGTGGGAGAAGAAACGGCAGTAACAACTTAGAAGAAAATTAGGGGAGGGGCAGTATCGTAAATAGAGTTAGACAGAAGAGGCCAAATTCATTCCCTTTAAAAACCCCAGACGGCTCTGTATGCGCGGTGATTTTAGCTTCTCAGTTCTCCCACAATCCATCTCTGTAGAATCTTCGCGCTTCCTCTCCCGCAGAGAGAGCACGCCAAGAAAATTTCTCTGCTTCCTTGTTCAGATTCGATCGGAACTTAGCCACCACTTTCGATTATTTCTCTCTGTCGTTGGCTCACTTGTTTTTTTCCGGTGGAGATGGAAATTATCGCCTTTTAGGGCTTCGTTCTTTCACGTGATTATTCGGTGAAGACTCTCTTGTCGGGTTTTTCTAGATTGGGGATATGGCTATCAGGGTTACCGTCTCCTTCTCCGGCTATGTCGCCCAAAACCTTGCCTCCTCCGCGGGATTTCGCGTCGGAAATTGTCGCGCCGTTCACGAATGCTGGATTAGGTCTCGAATTTTCGGATCGAACCAGAAGCCGGAATTTGACCCTTCCGGCGCGGCAAGAAATTACCGTCCCGACATCCGACCCTCTAATTCGAAATGTTGGGTTAAGAATTCGGCATCGTCGTTTAGCACTCTCGCCGGAGAAATTGTTGGTGATAACTGTAGAAGCCCCCTTCTTTTAGGTTTGATCTCGATTATGAAGTCAACTGCGTGTACTTCCGTTTCCTCGCCGATGGCCATGGGCATATTTGGCGTTTCTTCCTTCAATGCCGCTTCGATTATACCATTTTTACAGGGGTCGAAGTGGCTACCTTGTAACGAATCGATTCCACACTCAGCAAGCGCAGAAATTGAGAGCTATGGAGTTTTTGACAGCGCCGCGGACGAGGGCTTGAGCAAGCCGCCGAATCCTCCGCGGTTAGAGAAGAGCAGCTGGTTTTCGCGGTTCTTGAATAACTGTTCGGAGGATGCGAAGGCCATCGTCACAGCTTTGACAGTCAGCGTACTCTTCCGTTCCTTCTTGGCTGAGCCAAGGTCTATACCTTCTTCATCAATGTATCCCACCCTTGATGTTGGCGACCGCATCTTGGCAGAAAAGGTCAGATTATGTTCTTCTGCTGAAGTTCTCGTGTTTAAAGAATTTTTATTGACTATTGGTCGGTAATTCTATATTTGAGTAACGAGTTGATTTGAAAATGTTTAAATTAGTATGCAAAATCTGTTTCCTTTTATCAAATGCTCTCCTAGGAAGAATTATTTGAATGTTCTGTTTTCTTACATTATTGTAGGAATGTTTTACAGTAAAATGGTTGTCGAGAGACATGGTTTTTGCCAATTATTTGCTCAGATAGAATGGAAGCTTATTTTGACTGTCACCTGTAGAATAATCCTGGAGAAATGTGGATGGAATGACAATTTTTAGAATGAGTAAAAATGGTAGTAAGAGGCACAGTTTTAACCAATTATTTGCTAAGGAATAATGGAAGCTTATTTTGATGGTCATCTGTAGAGTAATCATGGAGAAATATGGGTGGAATTTCTTCTGGGAAATTTTTGGGATGAACTTCCTTTTCTCTCTCTTGTATATAATATATCTGTGAACACTCCTTCCTTAAAGACTTGAATTTCCTTTTTCAGTTGTCAAATGACACTTTAGAGAGGATAATTGATGGAGAAGGTGTATGTGATTGTTGAAGAAGGAAGAGTAAAATGATAAATAACTGGTTCGATATTATCGACCACTTGTTCTTCATTAACTAAGTCATTCTTCTAATGCTTTTCAGGTATCATATTTTTTCAGAAAGCCGAGTGTTTCTGATATTGTTATATTTAAGGCTCCTCCAATCTTGCAGGCAAGCGACTAAGGTCTCTATCTTTATGAAGATTTTCCCTCTTATAGTTTAATCTAGTAGCTAATTTCTCCTTGAAAATTCTGGTGCATTTGCAGGAAGTTGGTTATAAGTCAAGTGACGTATTCATCAAGAGAGTTGTGGCAAAGGCTGGCGATTATGTTGAGGTTAGTGATTCTCAGCTGTTTGTATGATTCGCCCAGTTCTGAATCTTATTACTTACTAATCCTTTTGCATATAATTGAAGTATGATGGAAATTTCCAACTCCCTTACCGCATTTTGTTTTATCACCACAGGTTCGGGATGGAAAACTCTTGGTGAATGGTGATGCTCAAGATGAGGAGTTTATCTTGGAGCCGCTTTCCTATGACATGGATCCAATGGTAATATATCCTAATTTTCACTGATTAAATGTATATATATTTGGTAGACCATTTTCGCCACCCAGTTGATTGAATGTTATCTTTTGTCTTGCAGCTTGTACCTGAAGGATATGTTTTTGTGATGGGAGATAATCGCAACAACAGTTTTGATTCTCACAACTGGTAATTTGCCTATCTTGGATCGGATTTGATACTCTTTTCTCAAGAGAGCATGTTATCATTTATAATCTGGCAAACCAAACGAGCTCTGGTTTATTCTCATCGGGTTCGTAGTCGAATTTCATTAGATAATAGTAAAGGGTTAGTGCAGTACTGAAACACTTCTAACATGTTCTCTTATGGTTTCTCCAGGGGTCCACTTCCCGTCGAGAACATTGTTGGTAGATCGGTATTCAGATACTGGCCACCGTCGAAAGTTTCCGATACCACCACTGGCAGCAAAAATGCAGGCAAAGAGGTGGTAGTTTCTTGATCACCATCTGTTTCTTACTCTGTTATATCTTGATATTGATTCCCAAAATTACACATCCAAAATCTTTTTGGCCAATTTCTGAGGCCGAAGTAGAACTTGGGGATGGAAATTTCATTCATCTGTAAATTCTTTGCGGTTGAAACCGTAGCCACAGTTGTATTTAAATTTCATTTGATGACAAATCCATCAACATTGGCGTGGGAAATGATTCATGTGAAGAAGATGAGAGCATTTTTGGTCATTTTTCTTGCGTTGTGTTATTCCCACTTATTTGTTACGGAAATGTACATATTGTAGATTACATTGGTTTCGTGTATATATATTGCAAATTGTATTAGTAAATATGTTAACTATGTGAAGAGCTCGTTTAGTTCAAAAGTTCTATATTATATTAAAGAATTTTTGTTAAAATTTTACAAATAGATACCAAAATGGTTACTTTTGAAAAATACTAAAATAAATCAAAGTTGAAAGTAATAGATAAAAATAAATGTTTTGAAAAAATGGAGACCAAAATGAACTATGATAGTGTTTTAGCCCATTGAACGATAAAATAAAATTTCTCTCTAAACTTTGCTAGATCTACCCTTTTAATTTCATCAAATTAGGCTATCATAAGGTATAGAGGTAAAGGACCGTGAGTTTCAAACTCACGTGTTGTACTAAAAGTGCAAAATTTCGAATAATTATTTTCAAAATTCATATATTAGACGGGAAAGTTTATGAACTGAACTACAAAAGTCCAACACGAGTTGATTAAAAAAAAACAGAAAATAATAATAATAATCCAATAGGAGTAGATTAAAGTCATTCTGCAATTATTTAGTGGCGATGGACAAATAAAATTTTAATTAATTTCAGTTTAGTTCAACTCTCTCCATCTCATGATCTTTCAGTTTAGGGGGAAAACAGTATGAAAAAGTTATTCGCCATATCCTACTGATCGATTGCAACGAGCCAAAGGAGATGAAGATTCACCGTCGGACGCCATTGCTCTTCTTTCTCCTTCAACTTCAAATCGCCTCCTCGCTCTGCTCAAACAGCGATAATAATCTCTTGCAGGTATTCTTTCCTCAGATCTCGTATTTCAGCTCCAAACGCGAACCTCGGCATCTATACGATTTTACTAATTTTGTTGTTTTGATTAGGATGTTTTGAAGCAAATAGCGGGGAAGCAGGGTTGGGATTTAGAGGAAATGAGAATCTCGAAACTGGATGTTGGGACTCTGAGGTTTGGATGTGCGGAGAGCTATGAAATTCATCTGGAATTGGGGAAAACTCGGCTGTTGGCGAAATTTTCTGACGAGGTTTCTTCGTGGAGAAAGCCGAGTTATGGCAATGAGACTAGCTTCGGATCCTTAATTAATGACATCGCTTCAATTGCTGCAATTAGGTCATTCAAAATTGTGGGTCCTTTTGAATTGATGGTTGAAGGGGACGCCCAGCTTTCTCTCTTTTTACCAGTATGCCTACTTCTTTTACTTGCAAACTTTTCATCTTCCCCGCCTGTTAGCACATATACACATCTTTATTCTCTTTGAATGTAGCATTCTATGGCAAGCGGCAGAAGTTTGTTCATAAAATCAATTTGTAGAGATCATCTGGTAAAAATTAGAAACAAGTGAACAAACTTGGGAGTTTATCCACCTGTTACGAAGTCAAACAGTTTTGACTAGGAGCTATAAGTTCAATGCATGAGAATATCCATGAAATTTCAATGTTTGAGGTGAACATCGATAATTATACAATCAAGGCATTCTATAATTAAAAATGTCTTCATTCCATTGTCAATTGGTTATAAGTGTGTTTACTTGTTGCACCCATAATCTTTCTTTCTGTTTTCGTTTCATATTGCTAGCTAGACATTGTTTTGTGGAACTGGAGGTTAATTTGTCGGTTCCATTACTAATATTCTCTGTATTTTGACTCAGAAGAATGCTACTCATGTTGGTCTTAAACGAATTCTGGTGGGAGAAGGCATCACAGTAGAAGTTAGTGAAGCTGAGGAGGTCTCTGTGTTTTATTCGTCTGATCTTGCCAGGTTACTGGACCAAACCAGAATGACCAATGGGAAAACAAAATTTTACCCTTTCTGGCTTCCATTTTGCTTACCTTTGCTTCCTATCCGCATACTCGGGTCTGTAACATTGTCTGCTTACAGGACACGAAATCCCGATGATTACATAAGAACTACCTTTCTTTCCAAGGATTCAATTGAGTTATTGCCAGACAAGTGCTATGGTAGAAATACTTACACAAAGAAGTCTCCCCTACTTGATTCCTTAAAACTGCGGTTTAACACATTGGAAAGTGTTCTTCAACGTCACTTCAGTAATAGGATCCTTCAAAACAGCTTTCTGGGCTTTGTTAAAGTTAAGATGAGAGCATCGGTTGTCGTTTGGTTTCAGCTAGAAGTAGAAAGTAATATTGGAACGAATAGTAGTCGCTATGCTAAATTGACAGAGTGGAGAACCAGGCCGGCGGTTGAACGAGCTGTGTTTGAAGTATTGGCCAGGGTGAATGCATTGACATTGAGGCTGAAGTCTCTCACAGTTAAGAAGTTGAAGCCTTTGATCGTGGCAGATTCGATCGAATGGAGGTATCTGCTGCCAAATATATCCTTCACCAAGTTTCCATCTTTGCGTGTTCGTCCCGAAGCTCTAACGCTGGATGTCAAATGGTAGTCAGAACAGTTTTCGTCGAGATTCTTTTTCTTCACAGATAAAGGTAATATCCCTCACTTTTTGGCAAGCTTCCTTGTTTATATATCTGGTGGATGTATATTGTAAATGAACAGTACATATTTTTCTTGCACAATGCTACTGGTGGTTACTAGTTAATACAGCAATAGAAGCATTACATAGTTTTTAGGTTTGAATGTAGAGAACAATCACACACAGAGATGTAATAAACTAGTTTCTGTATATATGCATATTTGCATCTATGGTTCAGTTCTGTAGTTACTTCTTTAGTTCTGTAGTTGGTATTTTCATGTGGGGAAAGAGTTCTATACTACGCTTAAACTTCAGGATTGAAGCACAAATTATCGGATAAAATCCCTTAACATAAACGAATGTTTTGATCCAATCTCCTTAATTATCAAAGCATGTTAAAATTCCCATTTACATCCGTGCATAAACTAGAGCAGCTTATCAGACTTGAGTAGTAACCTTGTAACTAGGAAAGAACCTGCCTTACTTAACAAGCTTGTTTGATAGCCGGTTCAAATGATCTTCGTTCAGGTTATTATTAGCTAGGCAGCCACTATGAACTCAAAAGTTTATGCTCTTGGTACCTTTATTTGTGAGCTTGAAAATTTATGACAGTACAGAGATTTGAACAAAGACTGCTCTCATATCATCTTAAGCATGTTAAATCACCTATAAACCTTAAAATTTAAGCTGATGGGTTATAAATTTAATTATTTTATAGGATATCTAATAGCTGTAGCCAAGGATTTCACGTCAGTCTCTCTTAATAGAAGAACTCCAGCAGTCTAGTCAAAGTCCAATTAGAGTGAACCGCTCATAATTGTGTATTGGAAACCAACTAAAACATGTTATGGGGAGAGGGTGGATATATATATATATATATATATTTTGCCAATGTTGAATTAATTTATTAAATATATTTTAAAAGTTTTTTAAATTAATTTATATTAATTTCATTAATGTTATTAACTATAACACCCTTATAATGGGGACCTTTTTTATATTGAATATATTTTAAATTTTTTTTTTATTAATTTGATTAATATTATTTACAGGGGGACTTTTTTTTAATATTATAAAAAATAATTATTTAAATATAATCATTTGCAAACCATTTTAAAAATATTGCCCTCTCAATTGTCCTAAAACGAAAAATTATCTAAACTAAATATGGTTTAAAAAGTTTAGGAATATTTGTTTTTAAAATTATATTTATGTTAATAAAATCTAAATATTAAAAAGAAAATTATCATAAACTAAATATAATTTCGAAACTTTAAGAATGTTTGTTTATGAAATTAACTAAATGTTAATATATCAAAGTATTAAAAAGAAAAATGATCTAAATTAAATATAGTTTTGAAGATTTATTCTAAACTAAATGTTAATATATCAAAGTATTAAAAAGAAAATTATCATAAACGATAAGGACTATCCTAATAAAGCTCCTCCTCATTGTTGAGGAGACAAGTTTAGGAAGATTTTTCATCTGAATTGATGATTGTTTTTTCTAAACTATATTTAGTTTAGTTAATATTTGATCCCAAGAGAAAAAGTTTAGTTAATTTTTCATTTTAATATTTAAAATCTATTAACAATTAAATAACCTAAATAGGCGCCTACTGCTCTGCTCTCTCATTTCTCTCCAATCTCTACCATTCTTCTTCTTCTGCTTACAGTTACACCAATGGACATCGTTAAACAATCGGCGAAGGAACAAAACGACGTCGGATTGCGAATTCTGCAGCGACTACTCGAGATGAAACGCAAAGATTCAAACCTCGTGTTCTCTCCTCTGTCGATCAACATGATGCTCTGCCTCCTCGCCGCCGGAATTTCGAAGGGCCAACCGCTCGACGATTTGCTTTCCTTCCTAAAATTCAACTCCATCGATCAACTCAACTCCTTCCTCTCCAAGATTATCGCCTTCATCTTCGCCGATCATTCCGCCACCGACGGACCCTGCGTCACCACCGCGAACGGCGTCTGGATTTCCGACGATCTTCC